AAGAAGAAGACTCTTCTTCTTCTTCTCTCTCTCTCTCTCTCTCTCTCTCTCTCTCTCTCTCTCTCAAGGAATTATACCGCTTCGAAATTCTTCCAGTGACTTATAACTTCAATTTTAACGCAGTGTAACAGAGAACAATTTTTACGTTCCGATTACAACTGTTGTACAATTCTTCGAAGAAATATAAAATACTTCTTAATTGTTACACCGCTTAATAACACAGCTTATTAACAATTCCATTGCACGTGCGTCATTAAATCGAACGCCATCTACAATGTAATTAATACATCTACGTAGATAATATTCCCGAGTAAAGTAAATTATATTTCAAAATAGTTCACAGATGGGTAAAAAGAAACTCGTCGTTCGATTCTCCTCCTTTATCTTCGAGTCCGTATCCGTAAAAAATAAAATTACACGAGTTTTGAAAATCTAACCTGACTATTTATCGGATTACAGAAGTCGAGGAGCGGTCGGGCGGGAAGGCGCGCGGCGGTAAACTTGCGCGTCGTGCGCGCTCGTTCAAGGAGGACTTCCTGGAGAAGCTCTCCCACATGCGTTCCCCGGGTAGCGGCAGCGGGGGCGGAGGGAGCGGGGCGGCCACAAGGGCCGCCTCCCCCTCCTCGCCGCGGACGCCGCGGGACAAAAGCGCCCCCGGGTGCACGGCGGACGCCACCCTCGACAAGAACCCCCTCCGTGACCTGCACATCCACGTGCGACAGGTGCAGCTGGCACTGCTCCACTTCAAGGACGTCGTGTTGAAGAAGAAGCTCGAGATGCTGCCCGGAAACGGCACCATAATCCTCGACCACATCACCACGATACACACCGTGTTGAAATCCTATTTACTCTACGAGAACAGGTAAGGAACAACGATCGACGATTTTTTTTAAACCTTACGAATTTCGATGTTCTAATCGTTCTATCTCTCGATTTTCCTCGAAGCTCCACTCTGGGATCGGCGACGAATCAGGTGTATCAAGCTCTAGCACAATTGTTGAAACTCTGCGACGACGTGTTGCTGCACGGCGACCAGTCCTCCGCGTTGGACACCGAGAACGTGACGCACATTATAGGATTAGTCGAGGATGCGGTGAAAAACCTGGTCGATCTTGCGAACGAGAAGATCGCCAACAGACAGAAACCTGCCGCCGTCGCGACGAGTAATAGGTAGACGCTCCTCCCTTTGTCCATCCAGTGATAACAATTTCTCTTCTTCTTCTTCTTCTTCGCTAATAATTTCCAAATCTTTTTACGCACTTCGATGATTGTTTTAATTGTAAAAAAAAAAAAAAAACGACCAAAAATTCGATATTTTTTTGTGTCGTCATAACCAGCAGAATTTGACACGATGTACAACTGAAATCAAACTTTCAGAACGTCGGGTTATGGATCGGAATTGACGCCACAAAGAAATTCTTTACCCGATATCCCGCTAACCCCGAGGGAAAGGCAGATTTTAGAGCAGACTGCTGCGACTACTAGTCTGGTCCGTAGTTCGCATAGTTCAGAGTCGATTTTAAGGGATTCTAGTCCACCCCCAAAACCACCACTCCCCGAAAGGTAGTCTCCTAAGCTTCTTATAGAAAGTAACAATGCATGTAAATCTTATTATTCGGTTTTACCTCGATAATGATTTATTTATTTATTTACATATATATATATATATATATCGTGTATTATGAAGTTAATACACAGAGATTGTTAAAAACAACTAATCTCTCTGATCACGATAAATTTCAGAACTAATGTGTGTCTGTCGGAGGAAAATAGTTCTTCCGGCACGCCCCCGCCGTTGCCACCGAAACGAAGAACGAGGGCTCAACAGTTGCTCGACGAGTCCGAAGGTCTTTTAGCATCTAGTCTTGATGGTGTCTCCCTACGAAGTAGATCTCCAGAGGATTCCTCGTCTCTTTTAAGCGCGTCGGCTGGCAGTTTGGATTCGGCCCTAAACCATTCTCGCGACGAGGATGAGATACGGGCGATCATGGGACCAAACGACGACTCTTTGAACGATAGTATGGATCTCAGCCTGATGGCTACTATTCAGGGTAATGAATGATTGTTCTGGGATTGATGGTTTTTTTCTTTTTTACAAAAAAAAAATTAGGGATAAACGTGTTTATCAGAGATTAATTATTTACAAATGATTATTGATTTAACTTTTTAAAAAAGAAAACGAAATGAAATGAAATTGAAGTTATCCTAACAAGGTAATGTGAAAGAATAATGTGTAAGTATATTTCCATCTGTGTCAAGAAGAACATTATGTGGACGGTGCTTAGTCAGCAAAATAGTTCTCAACCATGCTTGTCTTAATCATCGAATCAGTTTTATTGGAAAAGCGTTCAGATACACATTTTAACTTTAATTTCTAAAAGAAATAATCTAATAGTGAAATAATTAACGTTAAAAAATTATGTGGTGTGATAATAAAAGATCGTATTTAATAATAAAACACAAATGTAGTCTCTTTCTTTTTTTAATATGTATCCATTATGTAGTAGTATCGTGATAGAGAAAATTATAGAATAAAAGAAAAAAAGACTATGCGTTAATTATTTATTTTATATTTATAGGCATGCAAGTTAATGGTAGTTCGAACTGTAGTTGCTGGGACGGTTCCGAAACAAATCTACCAAGTACCATGTTATTAGGTCAACAAACTCCACAAGAAGTGCTTCAACAATTTACTGGTAGGTAATACAAAATTATTTTGTACTTATCGTGACTATCGTGGTATATAAATGAAGGCGTTACCGATGACGTTGCATATTTATAAATGTAAAGAAAAAAATGTAAGAGCTAAAATTACGCAAGAATTTCTCAAATAGAGCTGGTGGAGCAGGTAGCGTAGGCGATTAGACCTTCTGACGCTGAATGAATAAACAGTATCGTATAGATCTTCATTCGAATCGGTCTAACAAACTGAAATTCTTTTTTCTCGACTTTCTTTCGAAATTTAATTAATTACTAATATCAATCTTAGAGTACATCATGGCCATTAATCGGGAAAAACATTTGAAAACATTCTTGCGTAAGAAAGAATATTATATATATATATATATGTGTACAAATTTTTAACGTGTTACTAAAAATTGTATGATAATTATGTTTCAGGTATAGAAGGAAATCGATTATCGACCCAAACGCAAGAATCTGGTTTCGTATCAATGCATTCACAACGAAGTTCATCCCAAAGTTATACTACTACTTCCAGTATAACGTCCAAAAGATCTTCCCAGCAGAGCAGCATTAGTTATAATTCGCAAACGTTCAATTCTCAACAATCGTTTTCGCAAACAAAACTATCTTCGGATAGTAACGGGTCTATTTTCACTCAGAAGACAATGACTAGTTCGAAGAGTACTGTTAGCACAAATATATCTGGAAGTGGAGATTCCGCGTTATTAGAAAAATTGGTAAATGTGGGTGTTGTATTTTTTATTTTATGTTATGTTGTGTTTTTATTTTTTATTCTTCTTTTTTTATTTCATCATAATATTTCATATTATAATTGTGATAAATCTTTTTCGTTTTCATTTTTTTTTTTATATATATATGATTATAATAGTTCGAATAATAATTATGTGAAAATTTGTTTTTTATTCTTCAATTTCTATACTCTTGTGCAGGAAATGGAATCGATATCTACATCGGACGCTAATGGAGTACCGCCGGCATTACCAGAAAAACGATCGAAACGAAGAAAAGAACGTCAGCCATCGCAGTACGACAATGTACCTGAAAACGAGCATTTATCAACCTGTAGTTTACATACTAATAATGGCGATAATCCAGATGCCAGTAAACCTCCACCACTTCCTCTTAAAAAAAGGCATAGTAAGTTGAATTTATAATTTATAGTAAAAAGGCAGCAATAACGCAGATAATATTTAATATTATTGTTGTCATTGCTTTATTGCTGTTTAATTAAAGTAATATTAATAAGTTGTATGCGTTGAAAATGAAATTATTATGAATTTAAAGAGAATAAATATTAGACAAAATTATGTTAAAAATTATTTAGATTATATTAGAATAGTCGTTCTGAATTTTTTCCACATAGTAGGTTAAAACTGATACAATATTTTGTATCCCCCAGTGTTCCAATCAGTGGCATATTCTGGTAAGTGGGATCCTGCCCACACAAATCAGCTATCCCTCAGCAAACACGTTCACGCTAAGTTGAAACCCTTCGTTTCACGCATTGATTATACACGATTTTTAAGCTCCTAGCTTTTTTGCGGCATGTTCTCATCAATTATTTTTGATCTCATTTTGTCGAAATGATTGATACGATTTCATTTAATATTAAGCTTGAATATTTTATATTTCATAACTTCGGCTTTTTCATGGCTTATTTTTTTAATATAATTGAAATAATACTAAACATGGAGAATAATATTCATTTTTTTTAAATATGAAATTTTTTAACTTTCAGATTTAATTGCATTCAACTATTTCCTTTTTTTTTTTTGTTTATTTAAATTAGTTTATGGACTAAAATTTTATACATTAACTTTTTTATTTAAATTTACTAGACAATATATTTTATTGTATAAATTCATTATTTTCATTAACATTTTTGTATAACTTTTAAATGTTATTAATCGTAGAAATTAATCTTCAACTACTTGTGGGCGTCGACATTATTCCATTAATTAAATTGACCTTTTCTTGCTAATAGTCAGTTAACACTTATGCTTCTTTAACTCTAGAGTTGAGCCAGCTGACTTTAGTTTTCGTTTCCACGATTATACGTAAAGAATCAAAGAAAATGTAGATCTCTTATAAAATGAAATTTTCTCGATATATATGATATTTATTCGTGCTTGTATTAATATAATATTTTTTCCAATTAATCCGTAATAAATAATCGTTTAATCGTAAAAAGTATAATTGGCGAAAATGTTATTCAAAAGATTACACTCTTATTCCAGTGAGTTTACACGAATCTTGTATTCGTGAATTTATGTATAATTATGTATGGAGATATATATATGCTTGTGCATCAGTGTTTTTCAGTATTTTATACATCTGTGCTTTGATATTTTATTGTAATATGAATCATGCTTGTATTTATCATATATATTATAAATATATGTATATATATACATATGGAATCATATTTTTATTTATCTATTTTTATTATTTCATAATAAATATGTCATTGTCAATACATTACAATTATATAAATGTGATTATATCTATTGCAGTCATGGCATACATGGAGATGTTTGGGAATTGTTCTCACAGTAACAATGACTTCATCTCTGGTCTTGGGACCCGCCATTCAGTGGCAGCTTATAATTCAATGCTAGGTGAATGGCAAAATGATATGGCCCTTACTACGACACAATCGTGTTCTTTCATGGCACATACTATGACCACATTGCACGATAGTTCAAAGTATGTAATTTAATATAAATGTATACACAAGTATTCTCATGTTTAGTATAGAAAATAAGAGAAAATATCATCTATTATTTCTTTCAGTACCTCCATAACTATGACACCATCAGTAACAGAACTAACAAATAATTCTAGTCTCCCACCAGCATTACCACCAAAGAGATCCCGATCCATTAAATCAAATGCAACACCTCCACCAATTTCACCAAAACCTACCATTAGCATGCAAAGTATACATACAATTGAGCCAATCGTAACGTCGACTCCAGTAAAGATAGAAGAATCTGGTTGCATTCATGATAAGAAAGAGCTGACACCTTCGACTCCAATAAAATTGGTGAACATTTTAAAAATTCTGTAGATTACTGTAGATTTATACTATCAAATATTATTAATCGAGTACCATTTCATTTTCAGAATAATGTTGCCTTAGATACAATATTACCATCATCAAGACCAGCTAGTAATGCTTTATCATCGATATCTGTCGATGATAATACTTTGGAATTAAGAGATATCGATCAAGACGATAGCATTTTAGATGAATTGGATATCAGTAAATATTTAGTTTTTAAAAAGCCAGATGAAGAAGGACCAGATATAAGAGGTGGTCATCCTGATGCATTATTAATTCATGCAACTAAAGCTAATAAACACGGTAAGAATTTATTTATTTAAATTTTGGGATTTGAATGGCATTGTTAATAATAAATAATAATAATAATATGAATAAAAATTGCACTTCATATTCTTTTATGCTTCATAGATGAGAAGGAATCAGGTCAGTGTAATAATTTGTTAGATTCATTTTAAATTCTACTAAAATTCCAAATATGTGCAATTTCCTCATATATGTATAATATATTGAGATATTTAATAATATATTAATATATTATATATATTATTATTTAATAAAATTAATATATTTTCATGCTTATTTTATTTACAGACTTTTTGTATCAAGAAGCATTTTTGACAACGTATAGAACATTCATGCAACCATTGGAATTAATTCAAAAACTACATAAACGTCATCAGCGATTCTCCTGTTCTGCTGACGTTGTCAAACAAAGAGCAGCTCGTGAAGCATTTTCTTTATTAGTTAGAGCTGTTAGCGATTTAACGTAAGTTTAGTAAAAAAATTTATTTTTTTTTTTTCAATACATTTAAAGTATTTCAAAATAATTAAAACGATGTGTTTTTTTTCCAGTATGTCAGATTTGGACGATATCCTCTTGCAAACTCTAATGGAATTCGTGCAACAATTAGTATGTAGCGGTGATCTTACCATGGCGAAAGCTTTGCGTGTTAAAATTTTAGAAAAACACGCTGTGAAACAATTACAATCTGCACAACCAATTCTTTCTTCGTTAAGTGTGACAACAAAGCAAGCTTCTCTTCTCGATTTTAAAAGTGAACAAATTGCGGAACAAATGACACTATTAGATGCTGATTTATTTATGAAAATCGAGATACCGGAAGTATTAATTTGGGCACAAGAACAAAACGAAGAACGAAGTCCGAACCTAACTAGATTTACAGAACACTTTAATAAAATGTCGTACTGGGCCAGATCGAGAATACTAGAACACAGATTAGAAAACGAAGCAAAAGACAGGGAAAAATATGTCGTTAAATTCATTAAGATAATGAAACATCTTAGAAAAATAAATAATTTTAATAGTTATTTAGCCTTGCTTTCTGCATTAGATAGCGCACCTATTAGAAGACTTGAATGGCAAAAACATATTACAGAAGGTTTAAAGGAATATTGTGCTCTTATTGATAGTTCTAGTAGTTTTAGAGCTTACAGACAAGCTCTGGCAGAAACGCAACCGCCATGTATTCCTTATATGTAAATACATTTAATTATTTGAATATAATAATTTAAAATTAAAGTTTATCAAATATATAAAATATTTATAAATAATTTTTCTATCTACAGTGGACTTGTATTACAAGATCTTACATTCGTGCATATTGGAAATAGTGATCTCTTACCTGATGGCAGCATAAATTTTTCGAAAAGATGGCAACAGTTTAATATTGTTGAAAATATGAAAAGGTTCAAAAAAGGGTATGTTCTATTTTTTAATTAATAAAATAATTTATTATTTATTATTTTATTATTATCTAAATTTAATTATTCATTTATTGTAGGACATATTCATTCAAGAAGCACGAACGTATAATAACGTTCTTCAACAATTTTAGTGATTTCCTCTGTGAGGAGGCAATGTGGCAGATTTCAGAAAGTATCAAACCACGTGGTGGGAAAAAAGCACAGTCGCAGAACTAGAATATATCTAACCCTTTCACTGCCTGTGTCTCGAAATCGAAAGGCTGAATCAGTGAATTAGAAATTTATATTTATGGTATTTAGATAAATTTTTAATTATGAGCTGAAGAAAAATGATACAACACTCTAGGGTGGTGAAAGGGTTAGCTATGTCTATACCGTTTCAACAGCCTCTGTGAGGTTGTATTTTAATTTATGAAAATTTAAGTATTCAATCTATATATTAAACAAAAGGAAAAAGAAAAAGAGATTACAAACAGACATTTAGATCAAATTGAAATTTGATGTATTTGTTTCGTTTAAAAATATAAATTGCGTGTATGGATATCGATTGAATCGAAACGCGTCGAGACTTTAATGAATTGGCTAAGATCAATCATGTCTCAATGTATTTTTGTAGTTTTTTTCTTTTTGCCATAAGATAAGTAAGGGAAAAATTTGCTATGGATCTATGCAACGTATACTTAAACGATGCAGCTATAACGATGCAGCTTAACATAGCATGAAGGGAAAGAAACCCCGCACACATATTAACTATATTCTATATATACATATGTATATATATATATATATACATATGTATATATATATATATACATATGTATATATATATATATACATATGTATATATATATATATCTATAT